CGACAGGTGAGTCGGTTGCTAGGCAACCAGCAGGAGGAGAAGCAGAAGATGCTATAGGGCGACAGGTGAGTCGGTTGCTAGGCAACCAGCAGGAGGAGAAGCAGAAGATGCTATAGGGCGACAGGTGAGTCGGTTGCTAGGCAACCAGCAGGAGGAGAAGCAGAAGATGCTATAGGGCGACAGGTGAGTCGGTTGCTAGGCAACCAGCAGGAGGAGAAGCAGAAGATGCTATAGGGCGACAGGTGAGTCGGTTGCTAGGCAACCAGCACGAGGAGAAGCAGAAGATTCTACAGGACGACAGGTGAGTCGGTTGCTAGGCGACCAGCACGATGAGAAGCAGAAGATGCTGCAGAACGACAGGTGAGTCGGTTGCTAGGCGACAACAAACCAGCTGATGATTGGCAAAGCGACCTTGCACCTTTTTGCGGAGGCATAAAAAATTCAACGAATATGAAAAACCGGTCAACGAACCGAAAGGAAAAGCAAGTATCCGTAAAGTTTGGAATGTGCAATATACATTGAAGAAAAAATGCAAAATTACATTAAAAATACGTGATATATATATATAAGAGTTATTGTTATTGAGGCTACAATACTTTCTGGATGGGGCAAGGGAGAAGATGTATTCATTCCAAGAATCCCCATCATTCTCAGTGATATACCATTTGAGTTCAAGAGACTCCAATTCCCCATACGCCTTAGCTTCACCATGTCCATCAACAAATCCCATGGTCAGACGTTTAAGGTGGCTGGACTGCAGTTGGAAGACTCCTGCTTCTCTCATGGACAGCTCTATGTTGCATGTTCACGTGCTGGCAGCCCCAACAGTCTTTATGTCAATGCTCCAAGTGGAAAAACTATGAACATTGTTTATCATGAAGCCATTAGCTGAGAATTTTTTGGAAGAAGTCAACTTTGTTTAACCCGTGTATCTCTGTTACAAATGATATAAATGTTCTGTTTGAAAGAAAATATTTATGCTGAATTTCCATGAAGATTTTGGGGGTCTTTTCCTTTCAACCAAGTAGTCACCAACTGAGTACTTCCTTATCCGGACGACTACCCCTGGACAACTACCCCCCGGACAACTACCACCCAGACAACTACCCCCCCCCCCTAGGGTTAGGGTTAGGGTTGTCCTAGTGGGTAATTGCCCTTGGGGGGTAGTTGTCCGGGTGGCAGTTGTCCGGGTGGTAGTTGTCCGAGTCGTAGTTGTCCGGGGGGTAGTAGTCCTAGAATCGAGTACTTCATTTCCCGGGCAACGCCGGGTGTCCTGCTAGTATATAGAAAAATAATTATAAAGACACATAGACACCCATGTAGATATAGAAAATTATCATATAATTTTCTCTCTCTCTCTATATATATATTTATTAATTCATGCTTGGGCTGCTTCAGAACAAGGATGAGCACATAAGGAGGGAGGCCGGCGCTAAGAACAAGTGGCTCGGCGAGAAGGAGACCTTGCTCTCTGAGCTGTCAGAGAGGAAGCACATCTGCGACAGCCAGGACGTGGTGAGATCTCCCTCAGGTTACCCCTCCCCCTTTCCCGAACACACCTTCCCCCTCCCTGAACACACCTCCCCCAGAACACCCCTCCCCTCCCCTCCCCCAACACACGTCCTCCAGAACCACACATCTGTCACGATGGACTACACGTCCCAATAATGCAACATCTAACAGCTATATTCCTTACCTCTTGGGGTCCATTTTGGTTGATAGATAAAATTCCAGCTACCCTTCCTTTGATATGTTAGCATTGAAACTCTGCCATCCTCAGCACGACCAGATACAGCCCACAGAGCTAGCTTCCATACTTCCTATGCCATCTGTTGTAACAGACCCTCTCGTCAACTATATCCACTGCCGCACAGCGCGCGACCTACTATTCTGAGAATTCAACTCTTCAACTCTCTTCTTATTTTTTGTCTTTGGTTAATAATTTCTTGAGTTAGTCTGTCCGTCGGGTGTGTGAATTGCATCAATGTTCCTCCACCTCTCTCTCTCAGCTCTCTCAGCCCTCTCTCTGCCCTCTCTCAGCCCTCTCTCTTAACCCTGTCTCTGCCCTCTCTCTCAACCCTCTCTCTCTGCTCTCTCTCATACCTCTCAGCTCTCTCAGCCCTCTCTCAGCTCTCTCTCATACCTCTCAGCTCTCTCAGCCCTCTCTCAGCTCTCTCAACTCTCTCTCTCTCAGCTCTCTCAACCCTCTCAGTTAGCTCTCTCAACTCTCTCTCTCTCAGCTCTCTCAACCCTCTCAGTTAGCCCTCTCAACTCTCTCTCTCTCAGCTCTCTCAACCCTCTCAGT